CAAGCCCTGCGGGTGATGCAGCCCACCCTGAGATAGCCCCTCGCAGGCCACCGTGTCGGCTGGGAAGGGGGACACCGTGGCAGAGGAACCTAGCCTGGAGGACGCCTGATGGAGCTGGCCTCTGCTTTTCCCTGCCCTCCAGCACTGCGGACCTCGGGGAGTTTTGCCCGGGGTGGTCAGGGGATCGTACAGCCCTGGAGGGGCAGGTTTGGGCAGCAATGCTGCACTGTGCACACAGGGCTCGGGCTGGGGCCGCGGGGCTGGCTCTGCACGGGCACAGCCCTGCCACAGGACGAAGTGTTGGAGAAGGCTCCTTGCCTGGAAGCGCAGAGTTATCCTCTTCCCTTCCTCATTCCCTCGTGCCTGGAGGTTGGAGCAGAGAGCAAAGGAGCTGCCGGGCTCCCCCGGGGCTGGCCGTGCCGGCTCTGGCTGTGTGTGCTGTTAGCACCTTGTTTGCTAGCAGAAGGGCAGGAGGGTGCAGCAGGGCTCGAAGGAGCGGTTATCAGCAAGGAAGTGTGAGGATTTCACTGGGGAGGTGCTGTGCACGCCTGACATTTAACATCAGGTTGCCAGGGTCAAGCCCAGACGCAGGGTTCTCTGTAACTTGCTTTCTGTAGGTGGTTTTGTAGAAACACCAGCAAGCAATCATTCCTGAACCTGCCACCTGGAACTGCTTTCTGAGAATCCCTCTTCAGGGCAGGACGTGGCAGCTCTCACGGGCACACGGGCAAGGCCAGCTCAAGGGACACGGCTCGCTGCTTGGCCGGTCCCTGCCTCCCCCGCCCCTGCACCCCAGCGGGGCAGAGCCCTCAGAGCATGGGGTAGCTGCAAAAGGCAAGCAAAATGCTGTTGGTTGTGTGCGTGAAAACTAGAGGGGAGCGTGCTGCAGAGCCGGGCTGGCTCACAAACCACCCTGGAGGCAGGGATCCCGGTGGCAGCGTTTGCCACTGAAGCCCATGTGCTGGACCTGCCGGGGCAGCGAGGCCGTGGCTGGGCTCATTGGAGAGAGGCAGGCAAAGGGCTTAACGACGACCTTGCCAGAAGAAGAGAGGAGTAATCACCAAGATCAGGAAGGACTCAGGTGTCAGTCTTCTCCTCCGAGCTCCCTGATGCCCCTCTCTGGCCACCGCGTTCAGCCCCAGGCTGTGTGCTGGAGAAGGGCAGGAATTGGCCCCTCTGGGAAGGGATGGGATGGGAGCCCCGGGGCAGGGTGGAGGGGGTGGCAGAATCCATCCCGGGATTTTCAGCCTTGAAATCAAGGGGGCTTTGAAGCAGGTTTCCTCCGATCTTGGATGGCTCTGCTTGTCTCCTGCCCTTCCGACGAGCAGGTGTGGGTGGGGAGCCGGATGAATAAGGGACTTACGCTATGAATAACACCAGGAGAAATGTGCCTGGAAAATAGAGTGTTGGGATGGGGCTCATGGGAGGCACCACGCCACTAGACAGAGCCTCCGGGGACTGGGCCACCGGGGAGGTTGTCCCCCTCCCTGCTGAGCCACAGGCTGCCTGGTGCCAGCCCTGGCGGGCAAGCAGGAGCGGGGCCATTTCTTGCAATGCCCTCTCATCCCAGGGGCTGCTCATCCACACGCTGGCCGAGGCTGGGAGCAGCCTGGGTTACGTGAAGCATCTCTGGTCGAGCATCCCGCCTCTCGGCCGTGCAGCGCAGAGCAGACTTCTCGGTCACCTGGGGTCCACGAGAGGGTTTTTGCTGGGGTTGGCACATGTCTGCACATCCCCTCCTCTCCCATCCTCTGCGGGTGCTCGCAGGCCCTGGCTGGGGCAGGAGAGGCGAGGGGAGCGCGTGGCAGGGTCACAGTGGGGAAGGGGGGCTTGGGCGGGCAGGCAGCCGGGAGAGGAGCCCCCAGCAGCCCCCAGTGCCCGGGATGCTGCTCTCCTGCAGGGCCAGACCCGACCTGTGCCCAGATCTTTGGCCGCAGCCTGGGGTCCTGCTGCCCCTGCCCAGCGTTCCTCGGCGCCCGGCAGCAGAGGCAGGTATTTTGCATGCTGTGCCTGGAGCAGTTGGGAAACAGGCAGCGGTGGAGCCGGGCGGCAGGTCGGACTGGTTTCCCTCCGCGCCCGGTGTTGGCACTGACGTACGAGCCCGCTCGCCAAACAGATTCTGCCCCGTCCCTGCGGACCTGACTTCGCTCTGCGCCGAGCTGCGCAGCGAAGGATGGCCGCGCCGGATCTGTGACCCCAGCCCAGCCCTGCAGCGGCCGATGGACGGGAAAACCTCTCCGGTAAGGTGCGGGCAGCTCCTCCAGCTCTGTCCCGGCTCGGAGTACCGGGGGTTGCTCGGTGGCCATAGAGACCTGCTTCCCTCTGGGTTTGGTGGAGGGCCCGGTTTCTCTCTCCTG